CAAACAACTATATTTTTAAATGCAAAAATATTTTAACATAAAAAAGGAAAAAAAATCAGGGACATATGATATCTAGAAGCCCAGACAATTGCACTGACCTGAATCCCAGGCGACCCGTACTCACCGATGCTTTGCCCATCATCCCAAAAGAGCCAGCCCTCAGCAGATCCCTCATCATCCAAAGCAACCTTGAAGCCCATGAATTTCTGGCGGCTGCAGTATGGTGAGAGAGAGGCATTAGCTAAAAACAAAGCCCCAGTCACAGTCACAAGCCAAAGGTGTTCTCATAAAATCAAAGAAGCAAAAATAAGAATGAATTCTAAGATTCAAGAGACTTGTAACTCAGCTCTTGTTCAGTCTCCATAAAGCTGGATAATCTCATGTCATGAGTGAATTATTTGTAAATGAATCAAGGGAAATTTTCCTTCAAGGCTCTTTAAGAAATGAAAAGAAAACCAACTGGGTTCCCCCTTCCTGTTTCTGAGGAAAATACGAAAGCTGGAATCCATCTTTCATGATGTATTTCCTATAACCCATGAAGAGGGTTCTTTTTACAAATATCCTCAGCTCATCATTTTTATCCATATCTGTGGAATCAAATGAGTAAAGATCTAAGATCTTTAGGAGTGATATCAGACAGATGTGGATTTTAGTCCCTGTCCATCTACTTACTAGGTGTGTGACTCTGACACTTAGCCTCCTAAAGCTCTGCATTGCCATCTGTGAAATCAGAATAAGATTCCCTAACTCAAAGGACCTTTTTCATTTTTGTAAGGAAAAACTTTCTTAAATCTCCAAGAAGATCTCCCCATATTACTATAGTTCTAGACACAGAGTAATGTTCACTTGATGTTAGTTACTGCTAATTATTATAGAGACCTAGGTCAATAATTTATTCATGCTTTATATGAGGAAATCTCAGACTTGGGGATGAGTTGTCATGTGGCTTCAACAATTTTGTTTTGTTTTTGGAACTGGGGATTGAACCCAGGGTCACTTAACCACTGAGCCATATACCCAACCCTTTTTTATGCTTTATTAGAGTCAGGGTCCTACCGAGATGCTTAGGGCCTCACTAAGTTGCTGAGGCCAGCTTTGAACTTGCGATCGTCCTGCCTCAGCCTTGTGAGTCACTGAGATTACTGGTGAGCACCACCATGCTCAGCTTAGCAACATATTTCTTAGATCATAAAAGATCCAGATAATCTCCTAAAATTCTCAGGAATTATGATTTCCCTGTTGCTATTTCTATTTGAAATATCACTTCTGAGACCTATCATCTCACCAAGTAAATACAAAAGAGCTGTTAATTAATTATTCAGAGTTCAACATTTGAAAAAAGATGAAACACAAACAAGCAAACAAAAAGACAGGTGCTTAGTAAAACCACTCTTGGCCTTACTAGTGATGTTTCAGGGATTGCTGGCATTCATTAGAAATTAGTGAGCAAGCTAGGGGCAGTGGCACACTCTCATGATCCCAGCATCTCAGGAGGCTGAAGCAGGAGGATCACAGATTTAACAAGACCCTGGCTCAAAATAAAATTAAAAAGATCTGGGGATGCAGATCAGTAATAGCACTCACTCTTGAGATCAATTCCCAGTACCAGAAAAAAAAAGAAAGAAAAGAAAGGAAACAAATTAGTGAGCAAAAAGGTAGGCAAAGTGGAACACTAGCCCCATACTCACCTCAATTGTGTGTTCAGTGCAGGCTCCTGCCAGGGCAGGATGTAGCCCCCACGGACATGAAGGTTAATGTGGTTGAGAGGGGCTTCAAGGTCCTTCCACATTCCCCTTGCATTAATATCCACACCCTGTTGGATGAAGAAAAGAAGAGAAGATGAGGAAGAAGGCCTTGCCTCCCTGCACAGTGCATCTGGAAGACACCTCCTCTACCTCACTGATCGTGCTACCTGCTCATCACCACTCAGCACCACCTGATGGTAACCTTCTTCCTTCCCCCAGCTGCTGTGTGAAGTCCTGCTTGGCCTCTATAATGTCCTGTGAGGGTCCCTTGCCTTTTTGGGTGGCTACACTACATCACACCTGAGGTCCTAGCGTGGATCACAGCCCACACTCACCCTACAACTTGTTGGTATGTCACAGAGCACAGCTACAGGAGGCTTCACAGCCAGCCATTCCTTCACTTCTTGCTAGTTCCTCACATACTCTCCACAATGCAGGTCTGAAAATTCTCTTTCACCAAGAGTCTCTCGAGTCTTCATCTTCCCCCACTCTCCACTTCCACCTACTTCACCAACATTTTGGCCTCATACTTCACTGAAAACATCAAAGTGAGCTGGCGTACTCTGTGTTTCCTCTTCTTCTACTCAATATCTCTACTTCATGACTGACGTCTTTAACTTGCCTCATGTGTGAGAGCGGCTCTCTTGTCTGAGCCATTCCCTGACAATACTAAGGAACCTTCCACATTTTCTCACCAAAATAGGGCTTCCCAGTGTTGGCACTACTGCCAATTAAGGTCAGATCTATGTTTATTGGTGCCCTGTGCTCTTTTGATGTTTAGCAGCATCTTCAGTGTCTATCCATCAGACACCATCCTCCCACCCCACTGTGACTCCCCAAGGTGACTCTGCACATTGACAAATATCCCCTGATAAGCAACCCCCAATTTGAGAACTGTGACTTTAGAGGTAAGAAGCAGTGAATACTGACAATTAATCTTGTACATGGCTGTATTCCAATAAAACTTTATCTGCTAAAATAGGTGAACACCTGATTTCACTGAGGGCCTCTGCTTGCCAATCTCCATACTAACAAAGAATAGGTACCCATAACTAGTGAAGATTAATTAAGTAGACATTTCTTCATTGATCCCAGCCATGTAATTGTCATTTTAATTAAATACAAAAGCCCTTTTTCTCTTAATGTCTGCTTCAATTAGCTTTTGGCTTTCCACATCAATTTTTACATTTCATTCCTCAACTAAATCTTCTATTTAAAAGCCTTGTGTAAAATCAACCATTCCAGAAAAATTCTTTCCCCTGCCTGGTGGTACTGGAGATTCAACACAGGGTCCTGATCATGCTAGGTAAGTACTTCACTATGAGCTACACACCCACCTAAAATTTTTATTTATTAATCCTCATACTTCATTTTCTTGTATATGGTACAAATTATTTACATGCATATTAGCATTTATGACAAGCAAATATTAGCTCCTCATGACATGGTGAACTCCACAGGGTCAGGGCCAAGGCTAGGCGAATTGAAAGAAGTTGGCTGCTCTCTCCCTAGAAAGCCCTGGCAGGAAAGCCCACAGTAGCATCCTAAAATACCAGCACCCTAAGGAAAGACGCAGCCTGGCAACAAAGAAGAAAAGACAGGAGAGTCAGTGCTCTACAGCACATAGAAGAGGAGAAACACCTCCATTCTTCCCCTACATTTCCATCCGATCCCACTGCACCCCCTCCAATGAGAGGGACAGGCACATGCTCTGTTCTCTGCCTTTCTCCTATATTTCTAATCCTCCACCTTATTCTATTCAGGAAGTCAGAGGAGACATGGTTTCAGGACAAGGACCCCCTACCACTTTGATTCTTCCTCAAGGGTCAGACTCTGACTCATCTATTTCCCTCAGGAGACTACCCTAAAGCTGATTCCAACACCCTGCACTCCTGGCTAGCCTCTGGGACTCACAGTATCCCAGAACCTATACATCAAAGAGCTGTTTATGGGCTACTCATTTGTAAGTCGATGTGCACTACTTAAGTCTAAGTGTGGGGATCCAGGTCTATATGCACTTTACACACTAGCTCATAGTTTGCTTAATTAGGTAATTAGTGTGAAGCAACTGCTATTTGTTGTTGTTTGTTTCTTGTTGTACTGGGGATTGAACCCAGGGGCACGCTACCACTGAGCTAAGTCTCTAGCCCTTTTTATTTTATTTTGAGATAGTGCCTCACTAAGTTTCCCAAGATAGCCACAAATCTTGTGATCCTTCTGGCTCCACCTCATGAGTAGCTGTGATTAAAGGCACGCACTGCTTACGTGGCTAGGAGCAACTTCTCTTTGAGTATCTGTATTATAGAAACTAACACAAAATAAAAAAGAACACGAGGAAAAGGAGTGGAATTTATAGCAGGAGCAGATAAAATTAAAAACTATAGTTACAGCACAATATCCCATCAACAGATGAATGGATGAAGAAAATGTTGTATATATACATATTAGAGTTTTATTCAGCCATAAGGAAAAATGAAATTATGGCATTTGCAGGAAAATGGATAGAACTAGAGACAATTATTACAAGTAAAATAAGTCAAACTCAGAAGGTTAAAGGTCATATGTTTTCTGTCATATGTGGGAGATACAGAGGATAAAGGGAAAAATTGGGGGGGGAGATCTTATGAAAATCAAAGGGAGATCAATAGAAGAAAGGGACTAGGGAGTAGGAGGTGGGGAGGGAGGGAAGATGTGCTGGGGAGTAATACTGGTCAAATTACAATTTTATATTGTATATTATGTGCATGCACAAATACATAACAATAAATACCAACAACACATACAACTATAATGTACTAATAAAAAATGTGGAAAAAATATATGTAATATTATATAGGTATAAAATAAAGAGGGTACTAGGGTCTCACCTCAGTGAAAAGTGATGGTATAAGGAAACCCAGAAACTCCCAAGTACAGAACACTAACAACAAGCAAAGCCCTGAATAAGATACTGTACATGATACTCCACAAGGATTCTGTAGAGAGAAGTCTTATTCCATTTGCAAGTGAGAAAACTGAGGATACAAAGGTAAAAACAACACAGCATATGGCTTACACAGCCAGCGCTTGGCCAGAGGTCTGTGAGGTCTAAAACCATTGTACTCTGCAATTTTCAAAGGATGTACAAATATTTAGAAAAACTTACCGAGTAGTAATCATACCAGCGGGCTCCAGGGAAATACGCAGTGACACTTCTAGCATTCTAAAATTAAATACAAACAAGCTGTGAGCAGTGGATACAGTTGCTAAGACACAGTAACCAATTTGCATAGAAAAATAGTTAGAGCAATAGTGATTATATTCAACAAACTCAGCTCTCTAAAATTAAACAGAAACAAGGTGTGAACTTGTTTTCTGCGACCTAGTAAGTAATATGGGCAGGAAAGGGATATCAATTTGTGGTGGCCAATACCCATCGGTCTCAGGGCCCTGAAGACCAGCACTACTGGAAAAGTCTTCCTTCATTCACCCTTTGCAAACACAGAAAAGTTCAAAACCTCCAAACAAGGGGTGTCCACATAAGGATTGGAGATGCAGGAAGTCACAAATATATTATGATTTGCTCACAGATTCACAGGAACAAATGCTAAAGACAAAATCACCTAAGGATGGATGGGAATCAGCACATTACAGAATCAGGATAAATTATGAAGAAGTTGTAATTGTTACTTGGTGTTTTAATCAGAATCCTAAGCATCGAAGTACAAGGGGAAGAAATGACCTTTGCTGCCTTGAGGACCTCACAAGAAGAACAAGGGCAGGGCTGGCTGAGGTAAGGAAGGCTCGCTGGGCTGCTTTCAATGGTGACAGGACTGTGATGATATTCACATGAAACCCCACCTGAACCAGGATCCCTTATTTTATTTATTAAAGTGACAGTATATCTCAACCCATCATAAGGCTACCATTTTTTCTTGATTTTCCGACGAACCTGAACTGCTAGGAATGAGTGGAAACTAGAGGAAACTGAGGCAAGAACACCTATGTGCTGCACTTCTGCTCAGAAGGAGAGGAAGACACAAAGGTAGAACAAGCAGCCATGTCCTGGGATCTACACGCACCAGGCTTCTTCTCCTGCCCCTATTCACACACCCTCATACCTGGGATCCACCACACATCTGAGGCCTCCATACTCACAGCCTGCAGGACGGGGCTGACTAGGAAGGCTGGACCCAGCAGGAACTGATCATCTATGTC